TGCAGTGGCCGCTCCCGGCCACCGCAGCTTCGACCTGCTGGGCTCTGGCGATCCTTCCGCTTCAGTCTTCCAAGTAGCTGGAACTACAGGCACGCACCACCACGCCCAGCTAGTTTTTGATTTATTGTAGAGATGAGGTCTCGCCAAATTGCCCAGGCAGGTCTCGAACCTGCGGGCTCAGGCAATCCACTCACCTCAGCCTCCTAAAGGCGTGGGATTACAGGCTGAGCCACCAAGCCCGGCTCACATACTATTCTTAAACCAATTTTTTTTTTTGAGTTGGAGTCTTACTCTGTCGCCCAGGCTGAACTGCAGTGGCACATTCATGGCCATCACAGCCTCGACCTGTGGTGGCCATGAATGTGCCACTGCAGTTCAGCCTGGGCAACTTGACAAGACCCTGTCTCTACAATAAATCAAAAAATTAGCCCGGCGTGGTGATGTGTGCCTGTATTCTAGCTACTTGGAAGGCTAAGGCAGAAAGATCACCTGAGCCCAGCAGGTCGAAGCTGTGGTAGCCACGAGCGTGCCACTGCACTCCAGCCTGGGTGACAAAGTGAGACTTCAACTCAAAAAAAAAAATAATAAGGCTGGGTTCAGTGGCTCAGCCTGTAATCCCGTGCTTTGGGAGGCCGAGGTAAGTAGACTGCCTGAGCCCGTGGGTTCGAGATCTGCCTGGGCAACTTGGTGAGATCTCATCTCTACAATAAATCAAAAAATTAGCAGGGCGTGGTAGCGAGCACCTGTAGTTCCAGTTACTTGGAAGGCTAGGTGGAAGGATCACCGGAGCCCAGCATGTTGAGGTTGCAGTGGCCAGGAGCATGCCACTGCACTCCAGTCTGGGCAACAGAGTGAGACTTCGACTCAAAAAAAAAAAAAGATTAAACATTTACAAGTATAAACTCAATATTCTTTTAACTAAGCTAGTAGATAAAACTAGAGTAGATCAATCCTCCCTTTAATAAAACTCTCTTTGTTAATTAAAAAAAAAAACTAGAATAGATCATTGCAAATCTATACTCACACTATAAGCAAACTATATAGCCAATTTCCAACTTGTTGCACATTTACAAATAAACTGAACAACTAGAAAAGCGGATTGATTTCTCTATAAATGAATGTGGACATCCCTGCAGAACAGACTCTGAGCTAAGGAGCATACTATGTGTGTATTTCAACCATACGTAGGTGATTACACCTCTCTCAGTTCACCAAAATGACCTTAGAATGTTTCTCCACTCACCAACACTCTGTCTCCAATTTTGAGCTCTCTTTCTCCTTTTTTGATTGAGCCAGCCTCTGAAAGGTTGGAGATAGATTCACTGGCAGTTTTTGTAAGGTTGCTTATCTGAGGTGTAGTTGAAGGCTCCTTTGCTGCTGTCTGAGATGGCTTCTGGGGGATATTTGAGGGGGTGGCTGGGGAGGAGGACACCATGCTGGCGGCAGAAGTGGACAGAGGTGAAGCGGTTCTAGAAGCAGGCGTCATCTGCAGGCCGTTGGCTTCATCTTCTGCTTGCACCTTCCTTGTTAACTTTGAAGGTCGGGTGAATATGCCCTTTAAAGGTTCACACTGGAAATACCGAACGCCTGCCACTGAACCATCATTCTTGCCTATTGGTTCATCTAAAACAATCCCAGCCCACTGGCCTGGTGCAAACTGGGTTTCTCCAAGAAACTGGATAAATCCAGGCTTATTTCCATTCACCCACACTCGCTCCCCAACTCGAAAGTCATCCACAAATTCCTCTTGAGTCTCAGAAGATGGAGTGCTTGATGCTTTTTCACTGGATATTGTTTTTTCTACTGGAGCTACAACTGAAAACAAAAGAACAGAAAAATTCAACTTCATATTCAAGCAGACAACTTTTAAATTAAAGGAAAATAAATTAGACAAAGCCAACAGCCCACAGGAGTAGCCCACAACTTTTTTTCTTTGAGTCGAAGTCTCACTGTCACCCAGGCTGGAGTGCAGTGGCACACTCATGGCCACAGCAGCCTCTACTTGCTGGGCTCAGGCAATCCTCTCGCCTCAGCCTTCCAAGTAGCTGGAACTACAGGCGTGTGTTGCCACGCCCAGTTAATTTTTTTTATTTATGATAGAGACAAGGTCTTGCTAAATTGCCCTGGCTGGTCTCGAACCCATAGGCTCAGGCAATCCTCTCACCTCGGCCTCCCAAAGTGCTGGGATTACAGGTATTAGCCACCATGCCTGGCCACCCAGAACCCTTACAGAGGGTTCTGATTTTCAGTCTTTCTTTCTTTTTTTTTTTTTTTTGAGTTGGAGTCTCACTCTGTCGCCCAGACTGGAGTGCAGTGGCCGCTCCCAGCCACCACAATCTCGCCTGCTGGGGTCCGGCGATCCTTCCACCTCAGCCTTCCAAGTAGCTGGAATTACAGGCATGCAGTCTTTCTTTTTTAAAAAGCAGGCTAAGAGTACATGATTCATCACTACCATCTTCAATGATGCTAAACTCAGTGAGCTGGTGGTTTTTCCCTATATGCAACTAAGATTAGTGGAAATCAAAGCAAGAAAAAAAATCTCCTATTCTCAGACCTATATTCATAAGTCTAATTTCATTATTTACTCTACTCCCTACCCTGCACATGAGCAAATACCCATTCACATCTGCTGAGAGAGGCTCTATTCCTGTATTCAAGAAGTCATTAAAGCTAACAAAAACTAGGACAATTTAAACACAGATATTTGCAATTAGGCTTGATGAAGGAGCAAATTCAGTGCTGTAGCTCCCATCACCACTAGTGCAAAACTACCCAAAGACCCTTATTCCCTTGCTAGCAGCGGTGGAAATCACAGCAAAAAAAAAAAAAAGAAGAGCATCTGGCCAAACACACTGCTAAGGCAATACCACTTCATGCAATGTCTACTCTATGAAAAGACAATAGTTACACTTTGCCAGAAATGTGATGTTGACACTGGAAATTCATTCACGCATTCATTCAACAGGCATTAATGAAATATGTAGTAGTAGTTGGTACAGCCCACACTCCTTTTTTTTTTTTGAGTTGGAGTCTCACTCTGTCACCCAGGCTGGAGAGCAGTGGCATGCTCCCAGTCTCTGCAGCCTCCATCTGCTGGGCTTAGGCGATCCTTCTGCCGCAGCCTTCCAAGTACAGGTACACGCCATCATGCCTGGCTAATTTTTTTATTTATTATAGAGATGGGGTCTCACCAAGTTGCCCAGGTTGGTCTTGAATCTGTGGGCTCAGGCAATTCTCTCACTTCAGCCTCCCAAAGTGCTGGGATTATAGGCATGAGCCACCACGCCTGGCCCAGTCAACACTCTTAACCACTCTACCATTTTACTAGATATATGCTCCCAGGAAGTTACACCACCTCTGTGAATTCAATTTCTCCATCTATAAGAGGACAGTAATATATATCCTGAGGGTTTTTTAAATGAAGAACAAATGAAATAATGTATTTATTCATTCTGCTCATGTTTATTGATCTCCTATCACTCCAGAACTAGTCCCAAGTATTGTTCTATACCCAGGGACAAAGTAAGACAGCAGCTTCTGTGCCTTCAGAGAAACAGAGTCCAGGCCGGGTGCAGTGGCTTAAGCCTATAATCCCAGCACTTTGGGAGCCCAGGGCTTTGAGACCAGCCTGGGCAACTTGGTGAGACCTCATCTCTACAATTAAAAAAAAAATTAGTTGGATGTGGTGGCAGCTTGCTTGAAAGACTGAGGCAGAAGGATCGCCAGAGCCCAGCAGATCAAGGCTGCAGTGGCCGTGAGCATGCCACTGCACTCCAGCCTGGGCGACAGAGTGCGACTCTGACTCAAAAAAAAAAAAAAAGAAAAGAAATCAGAGTTCAGAGGTGGGGAGACAGACAGTAAAGTTACATTCCAGGTAATTTCAGGTAGTCTCAGTGCTATGGAGGAAACAGGCCTTGGAGTGAGCAGTTAGGAAGGCCCCCTGAAGGTGACATTCAGCCTGAATTGACAAGTAGTGAACCCTGGACAAACCAACTGGCCTAGAGTGGGTGCCCAACATCTCTTTACCTCACAGAAAGGGAGACTGTGGAGACGCCACTTGTGGAGGCTTTCTGCTTTCATTTTTCAAGGAGAGTACATGTTCTCAGATAGAACAGATAACATCTGCCATTGACAGAGACCAGCCCAATTACTTTTTGAGTCTATTTTAGCTTTGAACATCAATAATAACTTCACCGTGTGCTGCAAGCAAGAATTCATTAAAGTACTTTGAATTCCTTAGAAGTTATTTCTTTCAGGGAATATAATTTTTAGTATTAATAAACTGCTTTTTTTTTTTTTTTAAGTCGGGGTCTCCATCTGGTACCCAGGCTGGAGTACAGCAGCACAATCACAACTCACCGCAGCCTCAGCCTCCTGGGCTCAGGTGATCCTCCTGCCTCAGCCTCCCAAGTAGCTGGGACTACAGGCACACAGCATCACACGTGGCTATTTTTTTTTTTTTTTTTTTTTTTTTTTTTTACTTTTTGTAGAGATAAGGTCTTGCTATGTTGCCTAGGCTGGTCTGGAATTCCTGGGCTCAAGCAATCCTCTCGCCTTGACCTCCCAAAATGCTGGGATTACAGAGAAGCCACTGAGCCCACAGCTTTACTCTTTAAAAAAATCTAGTGTATGCTAAGTACTGTTGCAGAAGCCAAGTTGACTCACTTATATATGCCATATTATATGTATATATAATATATTATTATATGTTAAGGGTTGTGCATGAAAAATGCTAAAAGTGAAAACGAAAATTCTAATACAGGGGTGAGCACACAGAAGTCTTCACGGAAGGGCTGGCTTTTGAAGGGAAGTTAGAAAAAGGAAAGATTTTGAGGGGAAGGAGAATAGAGGTTTCAGTTTTGACTGATTTCCTCAAGAATAAATAGTCTATAACAAATCCCTTTGTTGATGATCCTTTGTTTTAGACATAAAGTTTTCCTCCCATCTAAGATGTTTTATGGTCTCTTTGATAAGAACCTTGTTTTATTCTGAACCATATAATGCAAATAATTTGAGAGCTCCATTCAGTCAACAAATATTTACTGAGCTGCTATCCTGTGCCAGGCAATGTTCAAGGTATGTGGGTGGAATGCAACAATGAAAAAAAGAAACACAAAGAACACCGCCTTCCTGGAGGACCCACGAGAGTCTTTATGAAAGAAAATGAAACCATGTTGGACTCAGTATATTAAGGTGGGCACCTGATCATCTGGAATACCTTTTTTAATCTTTCAAAAATAAATTTCAGCCGGGCTCGGTGGCTCAGCCTGTAATCCCATGCCTTTGGGAGGCTGAGGTGAGTGTATTGCCTGAGCCCGCAGGTTCGAGACCAGCTTAGGCAACTCGGCGAGACCTCATCTCTACAATAAATCAAAAAATTAGCTGGGTGTGGTAGCGCATGCCTATAGCTCCGGCCACTTGGAAGGCTGAGATGGAAGGCTCCCCGGAGCCCAGTAGGTCGAGGCTGCAGTGGCCAGGAGTGACCACTGCACTCCAGTCTGGGCAACAGAGTGAGACTCCAACTCAGAAAAATAAAAAATAAAATAAAAATAAATTTCAAATTGAAATCTTCATATAGGATAATTTACTTGCTATGCAGGAAAAAAACAAAGCATTACCAGCTGTAGGTGTCTTCAAAGCTGTGCTTCCAGGTTTAAGGATCTTGGTGGGGGCCTTCAGCCCACTCGGTTTTAGCATACTCATTTTCTTCGTATGTCAGAGCTGTTTTTCCTTTGTCTGTCTGTTGCCACTATCGTTCCCCAACCATTGATACAACCGTGGATGTTCCTATAGTGAAGCCAGTCTCTGGATTAAATCTGCAAAATGAAATAAATAAAAAGATTTGAGAATCTACAAGTATATGAGAGATAGTAGGAACAACAGTTGTTATTAAAGTAGCTTACACAGTTTAAAATTTTCCTTATATATGATAATCAATCACATTTCCACACTGAACCTAGGACCTAGAAAACTCTGGATATTAAAAACATGAGACCAGCGCAGTGGCGCATACCTATAAACCCAGCACTTTGGGAGGCCAAGGTGAGAGGATTGCCTGAGCCCATGGGTTCAAGACCAGCCTGGGCAAGATGGCAAGACCTCATCTCTACAATAAAAACCAAAAAATTAGCTGGGCACAGTGGCGCGCACCTGTAGTTCCAGCTACTTGGAAGGCTGAGGCGTAAGGATCGCCTAAGCCCAGCAGGTTGAGGCTGCAGTGGCTGTGAGCATGCCACTACTCTCCAGCCTGGGCGACAGAGTGAGACTCCAACTAAAAAAACAAAAATAAATAAGTAAAATAAATAAAAACATTAAAATGCAGCTGAAATGGACTTAAAGGTGATTTACTAACCTCAACACAAATAGTTAAGATAAGCAATATATTCACTTTGCTTTATATTGCCTCATATTATTAATATCAGCTCACTACAGAGTCTAAAAACCACACAATCCATAAAAGGTTCAGAAAATTCTGCACCAAACTTAATGGAGGGATGAACTTTTAGCTTTTACTTTCTTCATTTCTGTATTGTCTAAGTTTTACTATCACAAAGCTGTTTTAACTGCACATGTTCTTAAGTCCAATAATTTACAATTTAAAAGTATATATGTGTTAAACTAGAGAAAGATTAAAGCTCTGTAAGAAAAAGTCCTATCTGGGGAAGTGGTGGAAAAACTATCTTCGTTCTGTCTACAAAAACACAACACGCTACTGATTTGTTCAAGATCAGTCTGAGTCTACCTTATACCCGGGGTAAGGCAGGCCTAAGGCAAAATAGTATCTTGTCATATTCTTGACACCTTTATAGACAGTGAGTTGAGGAAGACCTTGGGACTTTGAAATACAGGATAACATTTTCAGACATAAAACCTAAAAACAAAACAAACCGAAAACTGCGGACCTTGGAGTAGGAGACCCCACCTGAGGAGTGACCTCCTTAGGGACAAATCAATTGCTGGGGGAGGGGCAAAGAAAAAAAACCCAGAAATGTGCCATTTAATGATTCTGTCAAATGATTGTGTTTTACTGTTTTCTCTGCTAGTAGAGCTTGGATGATGAAGGAGACCTCACTCTCTCATTTGTCTCTCATAGACAATAACAAGAATTTATAAAGTCTCTGGCCAGGGATGAAAATAAGCTGCCCACAAGGCCTCTGTAGTGGAATGTACATTGCTGCCACCCGAGACATGTCTACCCAGAACCTATGAATGTGACCTTATTTGGAAAAAGCAGCTTTGCAGATGTAATTAGGAATCTTGAGGTGAATACATCCTGAATTACCTTAGCGAGCCCTAAATCCAATGAAAAGTGTGTTTATAGGAAGAGAAGTTTATGTGAAAATGAAGGCAGAGGTTGGAAGGATGTGTCTGTAAACCAGGATGGCTGGCAGCCACCAAAAGTGAGGAGCGAGGCTTGAGATGGTGTCGCCCTCAGAGTCTCCAGAAGAAATCACATCTGCCAATGCCCTGATTTTGAACTTCTAGCCTCCAAATCTGTGAGAGAACAAATTTTGTTCTTTTAAGCCAACAAATTTCTGTTTATTGTTTACAGCTGCTCTAGGAAACAAATACATTCATGTAAATGTTTCTATTCGTAGACTGAAAGGAAATCAAATTCAGACAGTGGCCTCATAAGCCTCACTCTGTAGAGTCCCTATGGTTCTTGAGAGGGCCCAAAATGGTATAAGGCTCTACTTAAGAGACTGGGGTGGAAGGATCACTTGAGCCCAGGAGTCTGAATTCAATCTGGACAACATAGCAAGACCTCATATCTAAAAAAAAAATAAATAAAGGCATAAGGTGTTTTTTTTTCTTTAATGTCAACGATAAATTAACGTGGTCTGGAAAAGAATTCTGATTAACAGAGAAAGAACCGGTGTTAACTTGAAGAAACTGGTTGCTAATTCTGATTATGAACAAAATTCCCAGGCTCCTCACTACCACCCCCATCACCGCCATTGCCGCCACCACCACCGCTGCTGCCACTAGCACAGCCACCATCAATGAAGGAAAGTGGGGGCCGGGTGGGAGCCTGTGTGCCAGATGGGTGGTACTAGTTCAGAGTCAGGTTTGAAATCACTTGCTTTACTGTCAGACCTTCATCACACAGCCTGTAAGTTTCCAGCAGAGTTACTTGTTCCTGCTCCTGCCTTAGATAGAAGGGATTGGCCTAGTGTTTTTCAGACTCAGAAGAGAAAGGAAAGTCCATATCTGAAAGCTTTGAGAAGGAAGGGGTAGGCTACGTGCAGAGGCCCGGGGGCCCTTTGTGCTCTTCACCCTGGTCTAATAGCAAAGAGTGGCAAGGACCAGGCAGGTAAGAAGAGAACAGAGAGAAAGTGCAAAGGTCCTGGAAAAGTTATTCTGGTGGCAAGAAGAAAGAACAAAATGCTCCTCAAAATATTTCACTCAGGCAAAACTCTTGGGCTCAGGTCAAGCACTCCCTAAGACAAAATGCTGAAAAGCAACACAATAAGCAACTAGGCTAATCAGGTGATCTTCAGCCAGTTTCTAATCAAGTAGCTCAATGTCATAAACTCACAAAAATCTGACTATCGTCAAGCCTCAGCCTAAGACATAGAAGAATGTGGTTTTTACAAACTAAAGAATAATCATAAGTTTAGTCTATGACTTTATTGTCTTATCTCTATGCCTCTGGCTTTTTTTTTTTTTTTTTTTGAGTAGGGGTCTTACTCTGTCACCCAGACAGGAGTGCAGTGGCATTATCACCATGAAATGACAGCTCATGGCAGCCTCGACCTCCTAGGCCCAGGCAATCCTTCCTCCTCAGCATCCCAAGTAGCTGGGACTACAGGTATGCACCACCACGTCTGGCTAATTTTTTTATTTTTTGTTGAGACAAAGTTTTGCTATTGCCCAGGCTAGTCTTGAACTCCTGGGCTCAAACAATCCACCCACCTCGGCCTCCCAAAGTGCTGGGATAACAGGCATGAGTCACTGTATCCAGCACCTCTGACACTTGGTTCCTCTGAGTTACTTGTATCCCAAAGCAGAGAACTGTGACCAAGATTTAAAGAAGGAGAAAAATCTAGTCTATCTCAATAAAAGAATTAGAAACAACAATACCAATGTTGAGTTTTTATATCTTCCAATTTAAGTTTCTTCTTCATGTATTATTAATGAATGGCATGTCGGACTTGCTTTAAAAAATCAATTAACTGGCCGAGCTCGGTGGCTCAGCCTGTAGTCCAAGCACTTGTGAGGCCGGGGCGAGTGGATTGCCTGAGTCCACAGGTTTGAGACCCACCTGGGCAACTCGGCGAGACCTTGTCTCTACAATAAATCAAAACAGAGCTGGGCGTGGTAGTGCATGCCTGTAATTCCAGCTACTTGGAAGGTTGAGGCGGAAGGATCACCAGAGCCCAGCAGGTGGAGGCTGCGTTGGCGGGGAGCGTGCCACTGCACTCCAGTTGGGGCGACAGAGTGAGACCCCAACTCAAAAAAAAAAAATCAATTAACTGAAAAACAAATGATAAAAGACTTGGTCTCGGTATCCACAACATGTAATGACCAAGAAGCAACATCTCTGTATAAAGATTCAAGGTTACTGATTGTCACACTGGAACTAATCAACTCAAGCCAGGCATGATGACTCACACCAGTAATCCCAGCACTTTGGGAGGCAGAGGTGAGAGGACTGCCCGAGTCCAATGGTTCGAGACCAGCCTGGGTCTCTACAATAAATCAAAAAATTAGCCAGGCACGATGGTGCACGGCTGTAGTTCCAGCTACTTAGAAGGCTAAGGTGGAAGGATCCCCTGAGCCCAGCAGGCCAAGGCTGCAGTGGCTGTGAGCACTACACTGCACATCAGCCTGAGCAATAGAGTAAGACTCCTCAAAAGAGAAAAAAAATCTAATCAGGCCGGTGCCTGCCACCCAGGCCCGCCATGGAGCCCGCAGCCGACCGCCCTCCGGCGCCATGTCACAGAGTGGGGCGCCCAGGACGCAGGAGGAGAACCTGCAGGGCTCCTGGGTAGAATTGCACTTTAGCAATAATGGGAACGGGAGCAGTTTCTACTTATAATGGTGACATGGAAAAAATACTGCTGGATGCCCAGCAAGAGTCTGGATGGAGAAGCTCCAAGAGTTATCACTGTGACAGCCCACCTCGCTCACAGACACCACAGGATACTAACAGAGCTTCTGAAACAGACACCCATAGCATTGGAGAGAAAAACAATTCCCAGTCCGAAGAAGATTACATGGAGAGAAGGAAAGAAGTTGAAAGCATCTTGAAGAAAAACTCAGATTGGATCTGGGATTGGTCAAGTCGGCCTGAAAACATTCCCCCCAAAGAGTTCCTCTTTAAACACCCAAAGCGCACAGCTGCTCTCAGCATGAGAAACACAAGTGTTATGAAGAAAGGGGGCATATTCTCAGCAGAATTTCTAAAAGTTTTCTCCCATCTCTGCTGCTGTCTCATCTGCTGGCCATTGGATTAGGGATCTACACTGGAAGGCGCCTGACAACCTCCACCAGCACCTTTTGATGAAGAATTGGAATCCAACTTTGTTCGTACAGTGGCTTCTATCTGAGCTTGCACCGTAGCTAACTGAAGAGCAATTAGGGTCCTTGGGTGGCTGCATCACTTGTGTTCACTTGCTCTGTAAATGCCGCATTGCTAATTTAGTGAAATGAAAGAATAGACACTAAAATCATGCTGGCCTATAATTATACCTGTGAGATCAATTAATAAGCATGTCAGACTGCAACAGTTTCTTTGAATGTTAGATATAAACATCTAAGAATAAATTTTAAGATACTAGTCATGATGTATGAAGTATCTTAAAAATCAACT